GAATTCCAAATCCGCACCCTCTCCCTAAATATTGGTGCAGAGCAGGTACGTCTCATAAAGCATGCAACGTTACAATCAATAATCTAAATCAAAAGGTACCTAAATAATTAACGTATACTTGCTATAGGGACCACTGATTGCGTAAACCAAGAAAGTGATTAATCCTCAACATGCTGACTGAGTTTTAATGTCTCCAAACTCACAGGTGAGTTTTGTTGCATCCAGACAGAAACTGTGTGATAGACAAGGACTGGACATGAAAACAAGGGCACAATAATTGTAAGTGTTAATAAGAACCCCCACCTATCCTATCTGTATCATTGTAGAAGTGAGTTGGGTTTTATGCCGCTTTTAGCAGTATTCCAGCAATATCACAGTGGGGGACACCAGAAATGGACTTCACACATTGTACCCATGTGGGGAATCAAACAGGGTCTTCGGCGTGATGAGCGAACGCTTTAACCACTAGGCTACCCCACTGCCCCGTGTCATTTTAGGAAAGCAAGTCAACGAACATAGATTCATTCAGTTTCAAAAGACTCTACAAATGTCACACGTGTTTGACAATATGAATGCTATGGCATTATGAATCAGGTCTAAGCTGGTTTGAGATTCACTGTTATATTTCAGCATATGCATGATAAGTAGTGTCAGTACAGACATCAATTAGTATCTCACTGCACAAGTTATACGTATAATGTAGAATGAAACATTGCTTAAAGGTCACATGCAACCAAAAAATCAAACATAATCAAAACACAATTATCACTTATTCATGACATATAATATACATTGCTGGTTATGAAAAAACATATAAACAAAATTATAAGCCCACTCGCAAATCAAAAGTGCAATATTGTGTACTTCGGTTTACTTCCCAGGAAACGAAGCAGCCGGGATACCGAACCCAGTCAGAGCGGGTGGGTGTGCACTCAAGTGTAACGGCTGGTTCATTTGCAAACGCCCTCACGGGTCATTGTGTGTGTATATATATAGAGATGTTGGGGTTTGTAAATACATGCTCATTTTTTGTGTATAACATTTTGCAATCAACAGACATCATAACATGTCATGTGTTCAAGTATCACACCTGCCTGTCTGTGTAATTACATAATGTGACAGAGACCGAACTTCGGGCCATAAATCAATGCATTTTGTTTATGGTGTATAGCCTGATTGGTGTTAAGTTCAAATTGCATGTGGTCAGTGATAGCAGCTGTGTATTGAATATTGTCATTAGCAGACATGCAGGCAGACACACAGGTGTCAATAAAACAAGACATTGAGTTTAGTCTGTGACAACGACATATCTATATCACAGTTGGAAATTCTGTCAACGCTAAATAATGGCATTGCTTTTAAGTATCGAACTGAGAAAGGGACTCAGTAAGAAGAACGTGTGGTGAAATAGACAAATGAAATTATATAAACAGTTAATTTACTGTCATAACATATAAAAAGCTCGCGCCTGTGAGATATCAACAAAACATTAGAAAAATAGCTCACACCAAAGCCTTCACCGAGTATTCACCAGACAATCGCTTCCAAGCTGCGCGAACCTACTTCACTGCGCACGTGTTATAAGCGCAGCCCAGCTGTTGAAACCCGTTTTCCCCAGAAAAGTCCGGGGAAAATTAGTGAAACGTTTGAACTCTGATTTCGCGCGTTTGTTTTCATCGCGTTATTTTTCAACTTTATAAGTTGAATTTGCATTTTTTGACGATTTGTTTTGGTAAGTCCATACCGAAAGGTATCAGAATCTGCAAAGTTGTGTTTTACGTTGCATGTGACCTTTAAGATAAATTAGAACTTGCTGCATATTGAAATAGACAACAAATATATATCACCTAGAACTGATCCACGTCCCAACGACATCTCACGCTGCATTCTTATCAATATCTTTTCGATGTTTGGTTCAAACACAACTAACATGAATAACAATGGCATACACAGTAATTGCAAATAGGGTGAGGTGAGGTGAAATTGGGTTTTACGTCGTGCTTGAGAATATTTCACTCATATGACAATGTGCATGCGTGTGTATGTGCAGCTGCTTGTACTAGCCCAGACTGAAGCTGGTTTTATAGTGCTAGCCCACTGAGATACCATGCCGCAGTGAAGCATGAATACCCTACTCAGACACATTATACTGACTCTGAGCCGACCAGTCCTTGTTGTACCCACCAATTCCGAGTGCCAGGCAGGGACCAACAAGTACCATATTTTAAGGTCTTTTGGTATGACGCGGTCGGGGATCGAACCCACGACCTTCCGCTCTCCGGGCCAACGCTCTAACCACTACACCACGGAGACGGTCAATTGCAAATAGGGACTGCCCTTAAGGGTGAAACAGTACACTCATATCATGGTACGGTACATATTGTGGTACAAGGCCTTCGGTTCAGTCCGTTCCATTCGGTATATGAGATATGATCATAATGAAGAAACTTGACAACACGAGCCAAACCTTACATTGTTCAATAACATCAGAAGAAAATAACCATAATCTTTGTTATTTTGAATTAACAAAACTGTCATTTAAAAAGGTTAATAAAATGATGGTACGAAAACAGAAAATACTAAATTTTTGGATTCCATTACTGTATACTGAACCAAAATACTGCCGTTCTACTAATGCCACAGTATACCGTTTCACCCTAACTGCCCTGTCACACCGTCCAATGTTACTCAATTCATTGTTCTGCAATATACTGTCATTCCCTGTCACTCCTGTCAGTGACCAAAGATGATGATGAAGCTCATTTGTATTGAGTTTGACATTAGGACATTACTGCCTCCTAAATAATGGTCCTAGATCTTACTGCCTGCTGACATATGACCACCCCATTATGACTCCATGATATGAGGCTAATATATACGACCACCCCATTATGACTCCATGATATGAGGCTAATATATACGACCACCCCATTATGACTCCATGATATGAGGCTAATATATACATAACTCCTTCCATAAACAATGATATCCTTGTGTTACACTGACAGTAACTGACCACAGTAACCAACTTGGCTCCTACTGCTTCCTGCTTATCTGTTATGGAATCAAGACAAATTCTGTATGTTTTAAGAACCTTACACCGTTTTACAAGCTTACCTGATACTTCTATTGCCTTACTGTATAATGTTGCCAGGCTTTGTTCATATCTAACTATTTCAGTGGCATTTGGTTGGCTGTTTAATGCCATACTCAGAAATATGCCAATTATAAGGCGGCGATCTGTAAATAATTGAGTCTGGACCAGACAATCAAGTGATCAACAGCATGAGCATTGATCTATGCAATTGGGATACGATGACATGTGTCAACCAAGTCTGCGAGCCTGAGCACCCGATCCTGTAAGACGCCTCTTACGACAAGCATGGGTTACTGAAGATCAATTCTAACCCAGATCTTCACTTGTCCCCTTATGTTTTTAGTGAAGTAGACACATGTCACTACACCTGGGTTACTGAAGACCAATTCTAACCCGGATCTTCACTGGTCCCCTTATGTTATTAGTGAAGTAAACACAGACACATGTCACTACACCTGGGTTACTGAATATCAATTCTAACCCAGATCTTCACAGGTCCTCTTATGTTATTAGTGAAGTAAACACAGACACATGTCACTACACCTGGGTTACTGAATATCAATTCTAACCCAGATCTTCACAGGTCCCCTTATGTTATTAGTGAAGTAAACACAGACACATGTCACTACACCTGGGTTACTGAATATCAATTCTAACCCGATCTTCACAGGTCCCCTTATATGTTATTAGTGAAGTAAACACAGACACATGTCACTACACCTGGGTTACTGAATATCAATTCTAACCCAGATCTTCACAGGTCCTCTTATGTTATTAGTGAAGTAAACACAGACACATGTCACTACACCTGGGTTACTGAAGATCAATTCTAACCCAGATCTTCACTGGTTCCCTTATGTTATTAGTGAAGTAAACACAGACACATGTCACTACACCTGGGTTACTGAAGATCAATTCTAACCCAGATCTTCACTGGTTCCCTTATGTTATTAGTGAAGTAAACACAGACACATCACTACACCTAGGTTACTGTAGATAAATTTTAACCCAGATCTTCACTGGTCCCCTTATGTTATTAGTGAAGTAAACACAGACACATCACTACACCTGGGTTACTGAATATCAATTCTAACCCAGATCTTCATTGGTCCCCTTATGTTATTAGTGAAGTAAACACAGACACATGTCACTACACCTGGGTTACTGAAATTGAAAATCAATTCTAACCCGGGTCTTCAATGGTACTTAGCAAAATGAAACAGAGTACAGGCGAACAAACCAAAAAATAGCAAACAGCTGTTTGTCATTGATTCCATATCAGCGAGGTGGGTAGGCTTTAACACCTTTAAGTGTCTTAAGTGGCATCTAGAAGCTGGTATGATGAATATAATTTATTCATTGACAACTCTTGCAATAAAGAAGTTGCCAATCCATAACATTTGTTCCTCTTGATATTGATATCAAGAAACATTAACATCTTTTACTGAAACATGTCTTTGTCTAGGGCTGGCCATCAATAGAGATCACAGAAATTGATAAGCACTACCACAACATTGATTGATTATCAATAATTATCGGAGATGTGACTGAGCAAAAGAGGAAATGAAAGTCCCAAAGAAATCAAGATATTTCACATCACTACCAAGTGGTGATGACCTTACACAAGGATTACAAACAAACACATGTCTGGGACCATATTTTAAAAGCTGCTGCTGAATGGACAAGTAACTTTGTGTACACGGTATGCAAATTACTAATGTATTTCATCACAAAAATTACTACAGAATATTATTGATGACACATTTTTCATATTGATAATCATTAATAATTCGGCCAATGGATGATACTGCTGATTATTGATCTTTTTAGCCAGCCCTACAACAAAGTACTTTTCACAAAGGAACATGAAGAGAATTGTTAGCTGTAATATTCTGATACCTACCTGAAAGAATTAGGTCTTGAGATCCTATCCTTCAAAGAAACAGTACTAAGAGATGTGGACAATTCTTCCTTGCCGTTGCATCCATAAACTTGATTTCTAGAAATATTACCATTCATCTGTGCATCTCTACTGTAAAACAAAGGTCTAGCCATATCCTTCTTGGTAAATGAACTCCTCAAAACATCCTCAGTAAATCCATTTATGCAACTTTCACTTCGTTCGGGTGAGATGCGTGAATTTTGAAAATTGTTTTGATGGTTGTCTTTATTGTTCTGTTCCGTTTCACTTTGTTTGCTTGACTGTCCTCCACATTGACATATACGACTGGTCAGGTCTTCAACCTGACTGACTGTCCTCTCTCTGCGGGATGCATCCTCTGAATCAAGTTGACAATCAACTGAATCAAATGCTGCAAGCGGTGCCCTTAAGCTCACATCATCACCAAATATTTCGGACACAACACTCTTGGCATTGTCCATGCTGGTAAGCATTGCACCAGCATAGTCTAAACTGTCAGAGGATTTGCACGAGAACTGGGACCTTCTCTCTGGTATCCTTCTCCTGCCCCTTCTCAGAGAAGATTTCACTTCGATGATATCGGAATGACGGTACATTTTGGGGCTATGAGGATGAGTCTTGCATATAAGGTTCTTCTGCCATGCATGTAATCGGGCGTTTCTTGGACCACAGGAACAATAGGTATCTGGTTCTGATTTGCATGGTGAACTTTTCAACTGGATTTGTCCACAGTGTTGGCACGACGTCTGACTCTGCCTCTGATATCGGTGGTTGCACTTCTTGCACGTGTCATCTTGACTTTCATCAGTAGAAGGTCCCAGACTCTCTATCCCGCTGTCTGATGGGACAACACCCTTATCGGCTGCCTGCTCCTCCGTCCTCATCAACTTCTCTCTTTCCTCATCCTCCTCCTTGTCGATGCTACTGTGAGTTCCATATGCACATATGTCCTCATCCTTAGTCTTAAAGCTACGGCCTCGTTTACGAACAAAAGAACCCCTCCGATCTGCGGAGGAGCAGTTCCCCATGATCTTCACTTAGATGTTACGTCTGAAAAGAAAATCATACTTTATGAAGGATATAAATATGATGATTGTATTTATTCATGTGGGGTTCATAGATATAATGACATTAATACCAGGTTTTCATTTATCATGTTTATGGATGAAATATATGTATTTACACAATAAAAGTAGCATGATTAATGTACAGGTATAAAAAATGTACCAGAATCAGTATCTCTAATGCACAGCCTATGACAATTTATAATAACAACAATTATTTTACAATATCATGATCCCAAATATATCCTGAAAATTGCAAAACAAACTATGAAGTTGTAAACAATGTCAAACTAAATCTTTTTTAAAATCTCAAAAGCGGCACACCAAGGCAGAATTCCTTGAACAAAAGCCTTCTATAATGAACCCCTACAGATTTGGGTAAACCCAAACATACCATCAGTAAACACTGAAGCAAACAACTCACTCCAAAATGAAAATGCAGAGTGTCAAATATGATGGGAACAAACTAACACAACAAAGAGCCCATGAGCCAGGACAATGTCCCCCTCTCACATCCACCTGTAATCATCTCAGCAATATTACCAGGTGTGTGACAACAACTGGCAGAGACTGACCAGCTGACCGATATTCACCCCCTCCCACACCTGGACGTGACATGTGAACAGCTTTCTCCCAGGATGTGGGAACCTCTACAAGAAGAGACTGTTCTCCAACTGATTCCCAGCCCCGTCTACATCACCTTACACGCTAGTCTTTGTCAGTCTGTGATGTTTAGTGTGCAAACACCCAAACCCGAGCACATTCCTACTGACCTACATACCTACTACTACACATAGCACCTACCTGTTTAATCAAGCTGCTAGATGTTTTTGTTGCAGGAGCCTAAAGTTACTGAGAGTCTAATCAGTGTGAAAACATACCTTAACAATGGCTCTTTTGTTTGGAACCCTGGATTAACGTACTCAATTGCTGGTCAAACAGCACTTGAAATTGACTGAACTTTTTATCTTTTTTTTATCACTGATTTGATGGCATAATGCTTAGACGGCCAAATACAAGGAAGGAAGTCCACAAGGGTGGCTAAGAAATGTAGTCTTCAGCAACTGTGATGTTGAATAATTTACAACTGAAATTTGTTCAAACAAGGCAGAATTATCATCTGTTCATGATGTTTATGAACCCTAATATTGAACAAACATGTACTCAATACTTTAATATGTATTTTATTGATCATTTATAACAAAGTGGCTGTAATTGTCGTAAACTTCCAGTGCTGTTCCAGGCAGGTATACCGCTAACATGTAAGATCGACCTGACAGGGCATTGACGAACTGAAAAATACTTTCGCGAAATTATATCTCATAGATAAGCCGACCCCCTTCTACAGACTGCTCTTTTTTCCCCTCAAAATTCGGCTTATCTACGGTAAAATACGGTAATTCATTAGCTTTTTGTAAAAATGAAAAGAGCAGATGATCATAGTTATGTGTCCTCATACCAGGCTAATCAATATGAGTAAGCAATATTTATGTGATTGATAAATGTGTTTGAATTGATTTCATCAGAATTGATTCGTTTTAGACCTGTGTTGCCAAAGAGCAATGTGCATCTGTGAAAGGCTCAGGAGAGTTTCACCTAATGAAAATTATCACACTATGAAATGCAAATCTACTAATTAAGCCAATTCGTTTTTGCCCGATACAATTAAACTGTGAAATTACCTACCTAAAATGTGACAGTTTGTTTCGCTGTTGGACAGTTTAAGAATCTAATCACACCACGAGTTGATACCAATACAATGTTCGATTCTAGATTTTGGTAGTTGATTCTGTCAAACAATACACTGTCATCTTAGAGTGGGATGCAGTGACTTACACAGTGATAAATATAATCGTTTCATTTCTGATAATGCTTCTTGTTCCTGCTCACAAGATTATGAGGATGTATTCCACTATTTCTTCATGTGTCCTAAATTTAATAGCATTCAATGTGAATCATATTTCTATGCGAAAGGTTTCTCCCTGCGGAATGTGCTAAATGATAATAACACATCAGACGAATAAGGATATTCTAGTCAGTCCATCAATTCTTTATTACATCAAAACAATTTGATTCATAAAGGTTTTGTCATACCTATTATTTTCTTATATTATCAACTGGTCATGACACAAAACTAAGGTTATTTGTTAATATCCAAGATTGTTAACATTCAGAGATAACTTGTTCTTATTTTGGTTTAAACATATCAATCCATGTGATCATGACGGGATTGGCAAACAAGCATAAAACATGCTGATATCAATCCCACTCCCTAACTGCCTGACTGAGTTTGGTTTTACGCCGCTTTCAGCAATATTCCAGCAACATCACGGCGGGGGACACCAGAAATGGACTTCACACATTGTGCCCATGTGGGGATTCGAACCCGTGTCTTCGGCGTGATGAGCTAACGCTTTAACCACTAGGCTACCCCACCCCCACCCCCTAACAATAATACAATAGTATTAATAATAATAATAGATAGTGACGTACACATGAACTTGGTGCAAAACATAATGGGATCTACAAGGACAATATAATGTGTGACAATTTGCAAACAATCATTGAAGGCAAATAAACTCAGTTTAAACTTTAGTAACTGTTGTGATGTCAAGATATCGGCAAGGCACGGCATGTACAATATAACTAGGTTAGGTAAATTGCAAGAATCTCTGGGAAGATATGATACAGTTAAGTACAGATTTGTTCTTTTTTTTTAACAGCTTGTTATAATTCTATGTACAACATAATGCATGAATGGGAACCTTAGTTAATTCATGTGTTATGGAACGACATTAATATAACCCATTTAGGCTAATGTTTGCCAATCCTATTCTTCGTTTCTGAATAAAATAGGTTCAAACCCGTTTCACCTAATGTGTGCATCTCATACACACGAATGTTTAAATGGATGCAGGAAAAAACAATATTGCATCCAAGGGATGCACATAATATATTCATTTTACCAAATTCATTGTAAAGGTCCTGTCATTAAAGTAATCATCAAACCCTATTATGCTAGTCTCAACTAACATAAAGTAACATATGTTATATTTGGGATTGCACTTTCTAAGTAAAGTACAGATTCTAGTACTTTTGTTGGGTTGAGTCCCATCCGAGATTCGAACCCACACACTCAAGAGTCAGGCACCTAATTGCCAGCACAGAAAGTGGAAGTCGTGGTGGCTGAGCGTGTTAGGTGGCTGACTTTGTGTGCTGGCGATTAAGGTGCCTGACTCTGAGGGTGTGGGTTCGAATCCTGGATAGTGAGTGAGTGAGTTTAGTTTTACACCGCTTTTAGCAATATTCCAGCAATATCACGGCGGAGGACATCAGAATGGGGCTTCACACATTGTACCCATGTGTGGTCGAGAATCGAATCCGGGTATTCGGCGTGACGAGCAACGCTTTAACCACTTTCCTGGATAGGACTCAACCCAACAAAAGTAAAATCTGTACTTTACTAAGCAAGTGTAATCGCAAACATAACATATGTTACATTTGTCTACTTTCTAAATGGCATTGTGTAATCAACTAACATGCTTGATTTTTTATGGGACTAGATATATAATTCTTGCACCTGTATATATGCATGCTCTATATCACTGTATGTGATTTACAAGAATAAAACTCTGTTCTGTTTGTTGGGACAAAGGTACAAAACTGGTTAATGAACACATTTCATAAGCATGGGCAACTAAATCTTCTCACAATAACTTGGTTAAGTCTGGATTTCTTGAAAACACAGTCCTCAAAACAATGTTATTTCAACACTTTAGATGGTAGATTGTTTCAATTAAAGCAATGTTTGAAATAGGTTAGACCCCATGACCTTTGGCATCTAATCATTAAAACGGTTTGACACCAAGCACTCCACTTTCAATAGTTAATCAATGTCAGAAATAGCACTGAAGCATGAACTATTTGTGTCCTTATGTACACACTCATACTGTTGAATGAACAGCTTACCAGCTTTAAAAGCCACATCATATCAACTGTTCAGGCAATAAATACCAGCTGTGTCGTGAACAGGCAACATTCTCCACTTCTGTGTTAGGACAATTCTTCAGATATTGCTGCACCTCCCTTTTTATATTGATAAAATCTGACAACAAAATGGCCTCCTTCACATACAATAAACACAACTGATGTTGTGTTTTGCAGCAGACACAAATCTAATATGTACAATCACATTGTTGAAATAGCATAAAACCTATGTTCCAGTCAGTTGGTTTCCCCACACAAGGCTAAACAAGCAGCACAAGTTCGGTGCATCACACTGAGCGTACAGCTATTTATGTGTGCAAGAACAAGAAACCGATCAGCTCTGAAAAACACAACCTTGTCGCAGCACTTCGTGAATGACATGAAATTTCTGAGTGGACAAATGTTCCCACCTGAACTAATATAGATTAGGTTGTCTTCCAAATTAAAACGTGTGTTGACAATTTCACAAGCTAGTGCTTGATGCTTCTGTGTGTTCTGCTTTGAATGTTTGCCATGAATACATGATATTTAGTTGACTCACTGGCATTTTACAGGGTCAGTTAGCACTGTATGTGACATGCACACCATACAATATTTCAACTAAGTCTTCTTTCAACTACCCATTATTCTAATCGCAAATCTTGTGGAATATATTCAGTCACCAAGAGAAAGCATCAGCAATATTATCAGGCTGTCAAAGACCTTATTACAATATCATTATGACAAACTGAAACTGGTTAATAATGTTTGGCAAAACATCACCATAAATACAACAGCCACTGTAAAAGGGACCCAACAATTGATATTCAGGGATGGGATGATTTCTTGTATTTCCAACAATATGTATATGACTTTTTTTCACAGATTATCGGAAACAATATTATTTCTCATGTGCACTTAAGTAAGGTGCATTCCAGTTACAATTGCCATCTTATCTGAAATCAGCAGACTGGAAACACTTATATGTATTTAACTACTTCTCCCCCCATGACACATAATAAAGTCCATAACAATAAAGTTTCAGACTTTACTCCTCCACAATGTTTCTTTCACCTGTTGATATACCATTACAATTTACAATTCCAGAGCGGTTGATCCATAGAAAATTATGCCATTATCCATGGCTATCTACTACTGTAACAAGGCCTGTCACATTGGTGGGAATAACCTGATGTCTATTGTCAAATAAACTACACTAAATGCTCATGCTCTGACGCACTTGTGAGATTTGTGGGTGTCAGTAGTCACATCAACAGAGCCTCATCAACTCAGCCCTGCTCACAGAGCATCTTGCCACACACAGACCAACAGTATCCTGGAGCATACACCTGTCTTAAACATTGATATATATATTTATAGTCAATAATGAACAATCTTGTTACCAAGGCTGTAACAGTTCGCTACTTGATTCCAATAAACCTGGAGGTGGTGGGGATGCCTAGTGGTTAATGCGTTTGCTACTCGCTCTGAAGACCTGGGTTTGATTCCCCAAATGGGTGCGTACAATGTGTGAAGCCCATTTCTGGCGTCCCCCGCCATGATATTGCTGGAATATTGCTAAAAGCGGCATAAAACTAAACCAACTAATAACCTGTCTTACAGGTCTGTCTATCACTAAAGAGCCATTCTGATATATGAACATGCAAAAATTCTGCAGTGAGGGAAACAAAGCATTTCTATTGACCTTCAATATATGGTTTAAACATATTTTTATTCTGTCAATACAGAAACCTGGATAGGCGAACAAGCCAAGTGGCTTATATGAACGCCGCTCCAGTACACGGTTCCAATATAGCTGGATACATATTTGAAATAGTCTGACAAGAAAAGAATACTACTGAAACAAAATTACACTCGGAAAAATGATTGAATAATAAATATTTGGTTATGGTGTTGGTTGTGCCTAGCAACGAAAAGAGCTGCCGTAGAAAATCAAGTTATATAAATCTTGTCTTGCGTTGAATATACATGTATATGTAGAGGTGATAATCACTGGAAGCTCTTACTTTTAGAAATGAACTGGTGTAATGAGTTTAGAATGTCACAATTTGTTGAGTTATCCAATGCTTGCCGTTACATCAGTATAAGGTAGTTTTCACATTGTATCCTTGAATATAAAAATACACTGTTGTTCTTAAATTTTGATACTTCCGACATGTAAAAGGTAGTGAATGACGTCTTCGTTATAATGACCACATGAACACTTAGCTGTTTCTGATATATGTCGATTATATCTGTCTCGTGCTCAGATCACTACAGCCGAGCTTGAGGCTTACAATGGATGATTTGACAAAATCTAGTCCCAAAATTTAAATCAAAGTAGTTGTCAGTTTCTGTTGGATTTATCATGGTTTTAAACTGCCTCACGGAAATAGCGTTTACAGCTCCATCGGGCAATGAATTCCACGACATAATCGCGCTCGGTAAAAATGACTGAGAATATCTTTGGGTTCTACAGTTAGTAGTTTGAATGGAAGTACTATCTCTAAGATTATAGTTGCTTTGTTGAAATACTCTACCTGGTACAAGATCATTCAGATAATCAGGAGTCAGACGATGATACATTTTATAGAAAGTTAGAGTTTAGAGCGATATCGTCTTTGTTTCAGTGCTTCAATATATAAGACATACAGTTTCGTTTAGACTAAACCCTAAACACATAACCAGAAAAAAACCAGCAACATAAAAACAAGCAAAACAACTACCAACCAAACCACCCCATAGTTCAGCTCTATCTCCAAACCCCCACCACCACTTCTGGCAAATTTCAAAATTCAAATTCCTTCAAATTTTGATTATGCAACTGTAATGCACCCCCTTCAGATTGCCATACATTTCAGACAAATCACACTACTTTCGATCGAACACTAATATGTGGAATGTGTACACATTTTAAATCTCCAAATCATCATCAGTTTGACTACTTATGGTCACTCCAACATCACCCAGAAGGAAAAACTTGCATGCACTCCACAAACCATCACCTAACACATAGGAAAAACTAAAAAATGGTAGGCATGTCCTACCAATCAATCTTTCTGACATAACAACTGTTACAAAAACATAACTATATTGGGATGGTGTTATGTCATGAAAACAATGTAGGAAAAAAAGAAAGCGGAAAAAAAGTAAGGGAAAAAAAGAAACTGGAAAAAAAAGAAATAAATGGGGAAATTGTGTGTGTAACATATATTTATGAAGTTGTGAGTATAATTGGCAAAATAAACTCACCAAAATTTTGTCTAACAAGTAAAAGAAGTGGTATTACCATGAGTATCCAACGTAATAGAGTATGAAAAAAGTATTTCTTTTTTTCCTTTTTCTTTTTTTCCTAGCAAAAATCATTTCTTTTTTTCCAAATACCATGAAAACACTTTCATATACCACTAGGTGTATATAATATGTTCCAGCTATATGATGGCTGTCTGTAGATCAAACCAGAGTATGCAGTGATTGTACATATGATTTGATCATTAATGTACTTATATGTCACTCTTAAGGTGATTCATCTTATCTTAAGGAATTAAAACTAGTATTCACAATGTTGAAAATTGTTACAACTGAAAACATTTAGCTAAAATTCTCTCCTCTCATATTTGTGTACAGAAAGAAATCAAAACATTTCCACCCAAAAATGTCATTATTCATGCATGTGTTTTAACATATACTATACTTCAAGAATAAAAATAATCAGGCCAATGAAAATATGAAAATAAGAAAAGGTTCTACTATTTGTTTTTCAACTACATTACTAGTTGACATGACTCTCATGACCGATTTGTTATATTCAAAACAATGTGTTAAAAACACACACAGTTCTTTGTCTTCAACTGGTCATCTGTCTTTCTTAACAAGCTCCCAATAGCCACATAATTACCTTCTTATACATGTATAATCTCATGTAACAATATCTGTTGCCTGACATGCCTTCTTCCACCTCCATTACGCACAAAGCTAATTGAGTTAACACCTGGTCAATTGTAATTAACAATACCACTCCTGTCAATCAGCAATTAGCACCTGTGTATACCTGTCATCCTATACCTGTCATCCTAATTTCCAAATTGATTTCATTACTGGGATGTCAAACACCAATCACCCAATTAATTATATAACAATAACTACTTACAATTTACACTAAATTAATTTTGTTCTTTTGAAAATTTACATTCTTTCCCATTACTGTACATATTGAATTCATGGTTTCGTTGTAAAGCCTGAATTTTAAAGAGTATGGCTTACTTGAATAATACTGCAAAATCACAATATCAAAGGGAACGCAGTCTGTTCTTTGACAGGTGCATTGGTCTCATAATGATCATGTCTGCTAATAATGATTTTCAGTCATATGTTTGTCTGTGAATGTAAAATATCACATAACATATATTCTCTTAAATGTAGATATATTTACTATAGCATTTGTACCAGTGGAAAACAAGTAAATTTCCCTTTAACTAAAATGATTGGTTGCCATTGTTTAACGCCACACTCAGCAATATTCCAGCCATTTGGGGGCGGTCTGTAAATAATGGAAGTCTGGACCACACAATCCAGTGATCAACAGCATGATCATCAATCTACGCAAGTGGGATACGATGACATGTGTCAACCAAGTCAGCGTGCCTGACCACCCGATCCCGTTATTCGCCTCTGTCGACAATGATGGGTTACTGAAGACCAATACTAACCACGATCTTCACGGGTGCGGGTGGAGTCAATTTGAAGTAGGCGTTTCTGATAACATTTGGGATAATGACTACCTGCACCTGTTAGTTGCTTTTTATGATAAGCATGGATTGCTGCAAATCAGCTCTAACCCGGAACTTCACAGGTCCTCGGTAAAATAAAACAGAGTACAGGCGAACAAACCAAAAAATAGCAAACAGCTGTTTGTCATTGATTCCATATCAGCGAGGTGGGTAGGCTTTAACATCTTTTAGTACCATATCATTTCCTCATCAGCTCAATCAGCATAACGTGAAGCAGGTGTTGGAGGGTTATAACTTTAGCAAGATTCACAGAGATAGGGTGCTGACTAACTTAGATCAATAACAAAGACAATTCGGGAAAGTTCACAAACCATATACAGCTCTTGCTTTGGGATAACTCTTCACAGCAAATCTAAAGCCCGAGACACTTCCATGGCTATTCCTTCCCATGTCCTCACTACCACACTACCCAAATGCCAAGGTGCTTGACAGATCAATAGAAGAAACCAGGACAGTGGACTGTGTCAACACCTGAACTAACAGCCTTGATTCAGAAGTGTTACAAAAAACAACATGCTTAACGCTTGAACTGTTTGCCGTTTGCCATATATACACACTGATCCGATTGCCCACACATTCCCAACAGTATGTATGAACAACTCGAAATTGAAGTAATTAAATCGGGAGATATGTATACGCCACAATTACAAGGTTCATTTTATCGTTTCACTCACAAATCATGGTCTGTGTGACAGACTAATAAAGATAATATATGAGTTAGTTGGCTTAATGCCGTTTTAAACATAGAGAGGAAAAAATTAACAATTCTTAGACCTAAATAAGAACAAATCTGGGATTTGAGCTAACAATCATCCAAAGGTTGCCACAAGCTTTAAGGGGCGATGGGGTAGCCTAGTGGTTAAAACATTTGCTTGTCACGCTAAAGATCGGTTTCGATTCCCATCATGGGTACAATGTGGGAAGCCCATTTCTGGTGTCCCCCGACATAATGTTGCTGAAATATTTCTAAAAGGGCATTCAACTAGACTCACTCACAAGCTTTAAAGGGATGCAACTCTGCCCACCGTCAGTCTAAATGAGAATAATCAACATACTGAAAGTTGTTTTGTTCTGCTATTGTCAATTTTATCCTATTTTCCAAAGCAGGAATCAGGTTTATACCATTTGCTGATGGCATCAGAGATAATCAATACTCATTGTTATTCCAAGCGACATTTGGTCAGTCAGACACACACTGTAGCCATCCGATCTTGTATCTCGCAGACTCACAGTACCCCGGAATCGACACGCAAACTATTTATGGATAAATCATCGATCAGAAAGCCTGCAATTTTCACCAAAATTCTGTCAAGGTTTTCAGTTTCAAAATCATCAAGAACAGATCTGCATGTTAACATATAAGTGGGTATTGATTAATCATAAAAATGAAAACAATTACTGCTGTCACATTATTGTATCATAAATAATCGGATCCTTGAAACCATTATCACTGTAAAGTACACAGTCAATAGTCCACGCTCAACATTATAGAATTTGTGTGGACCTAATCTGCCTCACAGTCCCTGAACCACATTATTTTCCCTTCTGCTCAACCCTTTCTCTGATGGAGAAGCCCAAAATGACGCAAGTCTTGATCTTCCTCAGGATCAGGATTTCCATGTTACTGGGGCTCCTTTTCAAATTAAAGGAATTATTTCATTCAATCAAAATTTTATATATTCAGAGACTAAGCATGATGACAGTCTAGAGTGGACCAGGCCGTCAGGATTTGCTGGAATATAGTCAGTGAGTGAGTTTTGCTTTACAGCACTTTTAGCAATATTCCAGCAATATTTTTTAAATTCATACATTTCATAACATTCAGCATTGGTTGTACATTCAGTCTTCACCAACTCAAAACAGCAAGTTTCATTACCTGAGAATGTAACTGCGGTCGTGCAATATTAGCGACAAGTGCCCTTATGGTCAGTAGGTCAATCATAGGTTATCTATTACCTATCTTTCACGCATACCACAGCACCTAGTGAGTTGACTTCTTGATCATCGATATAGATCAGAAGGTTTGACAACAGCAAGTTTTCATCATTATCCACTGTTTAGAATGAAGAATAAAAATAGAAAGTATCCTTGTCATAACCCAAATAACGGAACATCAAATTTCAAAGTTTGTAAATTTAAATACAATAGCAGCATTTTCAGACACAGCCTATGTATCATAATCAAAATGGCAGGTTTATTATTAACATACAGGAAATATACACGTATACATCCATCAACACACACTGCCATCCACAGTAATTCATCCTTACACAGAACAAGCTTTGTGCATGCTCAAGTTTTTAACTTTTAACCAAGCCACTGCAGTAAATCTACTTTATTACTAATTCTTGTCAGAATAAAAGCTCTGGAAGCCAAAATAATCAGATAAAAGTCATTTACTGTGTTAAATGTTCCACAATTCAACCCTGAGAGTCATCTTCGCCCTTGATACAAATCCTCTCCCTTGTCATGACCAGACAGAAACCACAGCCGATGTCTCGCAAACTTAACAAAAATCCTCTTACCTCTCTCAATGCATGTCCCAATCTCACAAAAAGAAACACCAATCTCTCCGCCTGAATCAACTTTCACCACATACACAAAACACTGATAGAATCCTACCTCTATCTCCAGCTCTGATAACAGCAAAGTGCACTCCAGTGAACAGTCATTCCACAATGCACTGCACCTCACACCATCCCAATCCACCAGGTACCAACAAACGCAAATCTAACTTTCAAACCCTACACAAAGCAAGGCGGCAAACCCAGACTGGCTACTAAGCCCTAAATGTTAGCCAGTCTTCCCATTATCTCATAAGACATGGGCTCAACATCTGGGCAGGACCTGAGTGTGTGAAGTTAGTTCAGGAGCTGACAGCTGTATGCTCCTGTAACTCGATCCATTACTTCAGCATCTCTATCAATGAGCTTGCCTACATGACCCCCTGTTGCATACAGGCATGGGCTGGTGTTGTACCTCATGGGATGCTGTTTACACCCCCCACGTCAAGATGTCCCCCCTCTGTTAACTAGAACTCTTCATTGGAGAATATGAGATGGAGATAGAAGATTCTCTCAAGTTTAAAATAACACAAACCATCATTTCAGCCTGTTCAAGATTTCTTTGTCTGAAACACTACTACTACTACTACTACTACTACTACTACTACTACTACTACTACTACTACTACTGAATACATAAATCATGTTATAGAAATTAAGGGGGTCTTCTGGTTCTCTATAATGTGGCATTGTATTTATGTATGGAACACCTAGATTTGCAACTTTTAACATTAATATTGTATATATTATGAACCCTTGATTCTTGTTTCATTTTGAAAACCTCATGACTACAAACCCTTTGTAAAAGTTCTTGCTAGAACTTCAAATCTGCTGTCAAACAATACAAATAGGAACACAATGTATGTGATTATTTTCATAATTTACAGTTCATGCCATGGGGGATCCAGGAATTTTGAAAGGGGGGTTGGGGGTTCAAAACCCCCACATTGGCTCTGCTCTCTCTCTCTTCAATGTGGTCTTAAGTCATTTTCAAAGGGGGAGGGGGTTGAACCCCTGAACCCCCTCTGGATCTACCAAGCATGCATTGAGAATACGCTCATTTTACAGTTAAACTTTTAACTTAAACTTTTAGGTTTCATGTATTTAAAAGAACTGACATGGAGGGAAAATCAACACAAGGTAGTATACATTCACAATCATTTGTGTGTTTACCTTTGTATTAGTTAATGCTGAAATTAATGAATTTTATAATATAATTATGAATTAAATCAAATAGCTTTGTTGTTGGGTCGTTTCACACATAGTTCTTTTATGGACCGATTCCCGGTTAACTTATTAGTCTCAACTTGGGAGTCAACACATACCACTTGATAACAATTAAAACAAATGTAAAAGAACAATAGATGTGACATATAATATGAGTAGGTTTCACACACAGTAGATAAAATTATCTTCAGTACTTAAGTGATGAGTGAGATGGATGGAAGAACAATAGCAAAACAATGTCCTTGAGTGACAACAGCTAAATGTTCCTGCTCAACAGAACTCCACGTTTACTCTTTGGGCTTTGCAGCCGAGAGGCGCCTGACATGTTTTCACAAGGAGCCAATTCAGCTACCTTGGAGCCAATCTGAATTCCTAGTCGCCAACGTGTAAAGAGATTAAGACTTGTTCACAACTGTACAGAGACATAAGTCATCATTTTAAACAATTTGCAGCCCAAAAGGTTACATTTTATCCAGAAGATGGAGTTTAATGGTTTTACGATTGGGATAAAAACAGTAACATTTCAGAACATTCTCAATCTGAATCAAACATCTTTTCCTGTAATTTCAAGTAAATATATAACAACTGTTGTAGAATTGTCGTGATAATCATTTTTTTCGGTCTGCTTTTTCAGTTTCATTCATCAAACATTAATGTAAGGATGGCTCTTTTGAAACACAAATCACTATCTTCCGTTGTTTCAGATAAAATACATTCAGCATAAAGATTGAGAAAAGTATTTTACACTCCACTCCATTTGATATTAACTTCAGTCATCACAGTCACGTTAATCAGTGACATCTAATTTTTAACTGACTGGTTACCCTGTGATGATCTTCAAACAAGAATAAATAGAGTGAGTGAGTTCAGTTTCATGCCAGAGTCAGCAATACTCCAGCAATATCATGGCAGAGGACTCCATGGGCCGTAAGTTCGAAGCAGGTTTTAAGGTAGTTTAACCTAGTCTGAGTCTAAATCCTGATTTAAACCATGTCTGGTAATTTCAAAGCAGGTTTAGTCTTAAACCACACCAATTTCAGGGCAGAATTTAAACCAGCTAGGGGGGTAGTTTAACATGACTTTTTTCCCTTTACATGGGCATATGTTACCAAACATGCTCTTCACACATTGTACCCACGTGGGGAATCAAACCTGGGTCTTCAGCATGACGAGTTAACACTTTAACCACTTGGCTACCCCACCGTCCCAAAAATAAATAGAAATCTGCACTGTTGCACAAAGTAGTTGTATAACATCAATATAAGTAATGTAGCCTGTGTCACTTACCATAGCTTAGACCCGCTATAGCAAAGTGAACTCTCTCATGTACATCTCTGTTACACCCATACCTATATACTTATGTGTAATGGACCAACCAACGTTGACTAAGCTTTATCAAATATTGGCCTGTACAGCTATTACTGGGAGTAAAAGTAAAGGGCAAATATTGGCAAAACTAATATGCACCACCATATGGACCACAGATGACTAATGATGACAGTATTGACACCAGGTGTTCCACCTTACTACTAGCACCTGCCGTTCAAATAATGTTTCATTAAAAGTGTTTGTATGCCAGACAGAAGTACTCCTGCCATACAACAGCATCATGTAAATAAACCAGACAATCAAGTGATGGTCTGGACTGATTTTATTGAAGCTAAAAGTGTATGCTAATTTTAATGACATTTGCTGTCGAAAAGAGCAGGGAGTGAGTGAGTTAGGTTTTACAGCACTTTTAGCAATATTCCAGCAATATCACGGCGGGGGACACCAGAAATGGGCTTCACACATTGTACCCATGTGGAGAATTGAACCCGGGTCTTCGATGAGAAACAGCAGGGACTATGAGAAACAGCTAAAGAAAAACATTCATGAAATATATTTGTTTTGCAACACAATGAAGTTCAAGTTGACAATAGCTCAACAGATTGTTCCATATGGTATATTTCCACTGAAATGGTTATGGAGGAGAATATGAAGGCATACATCAGCCTAACATGCTTACAAAGCTCTACAGAATCTTTGTCCTTAACTTACCCTAGGACATATTTGTTCATGATGTTTCTTCAGCCTTCTATCTTGAGATGGCTTTGCGATCTCTCAACTATACCGGGATCAGTCCTGGGTGCGACCAGTGAAGATCGATGCTAGAATTGATCTTCAGTAACCCATGCTTGTTGTAAGAAAGGCATTGGGCGGTCAGGCTCACTGACTTGGTTGACACATGTCATCATATCCAAATTGTGTAGATCGATGCTCATGCAGTTAATCACTGGATCGTCTGGTCCAGACTCGATATAGATGGAATATTGCTGAGTAAAACAAAACTCACTCACTTACTCAGTCCAGGGCGCACCCTCCTTGACATGCAGTAGTCCTTACTAACTATGTCAAACATAAAGTAAAACACCCGTGAAGGTCCAGGTTATGACGGCTTCAGCAATTTCACCAGTTGCATAGATCGATGCTCATGATGTTGTTCACTGGATGTCTGGTCCAGACGCTATTATTTACAGACTGACGTCATATACCTGGCATTAAACAACAACCACACACAAATACAAAAAAAACTTTACATACAGTTTACATAGTTAGATTACAAGATTTATAAGCATACTTAGATTACAAGATTGCTAAGCATGATAAGTGGGGTTTTTGTTACAGATATGAAAGAGGAGGATATTTTCCCACAATGAGAAAGTTGCGTCTGTGATGGTCAAAATATGCCAAATACTACCAGACAATGATTTATGTTGGCAGTAAGGTATGTTTTCAAAGGATGAACAAAACATTTTGAATCAGGTGAAGATTATTATGATATATTTTTATAATTAATTATTCGCAAAAAGAAATCAAAACTGCATTTCCTAAGTTATCCTCATAAGTATGCATTAGCGATCTGTACTGAAACCTGAACAGAAATAAATTTCACAAAATTTGCTGAAAATCTGGACATTAGTCCAATAACATTAATACTGAATAAGAACATTTAGTGGTCGTGGATTATTTGGGGGAGATTTTTTATAGTTTGGGAGAAAGAACTCATAATTTCATTAAAAAAAACCATCCCCAAAAGTATTCACGAACAACACTTTTTTGGGTTCAGTATGTATTGCAATTACAATGACATACTGTGCACCTGCTAATCTTACCAACAATATTTCTTGTATGACTTTAAAACATTCACAAGCTCTAGATTACATGTAATAATCTTCTACAATGGTATTTAAGCATCGCTAGACATCTAGGCCACACTATTAAGGTCAAGTATGTAACAGTCCTCTACATTCAAGGTCTATGATTTATCATCAAGTTGCCTTATGGCTGACGTCAAGTCAAGACTTTTTGAGAGGAACACTTTCCTCAAATACCAACATTCAGTTAGTTTCTTGGCGGTGGGGTTACCCTAGTTCAGGGCTCCAGATAATCTTTCAACATCAAGAGTACATACTCCTTACTTGTTCAAAATAGGAATACCGGAAAACCTTAAGAGTACATTTAGAGTACTGAATGGAATCGAATGGAGTATCAGTAATCTTGTGTTTCATTTCATATCTGCACCACAACATTGCTACTCTTGTGTAAACATTTCAATAAACAATAAAACAATACTTTTACCAATAAATATGTCTGTAAATGATTCTTAGACCGTCCACCATTGTTGTGGTACGTATCTGCAATGTTTTCTTAATTATTTCCTACTGTATCGTGCATATTGTTTAGCCGCACATAAGCAGATACTGCCCTTATCTGGAGCACTGCTAGTGGTTAAAGTGTTCGCTGAAGACCCAGGTTCGATTTCCTACATGGGTACAATGTGTGAAGCCCATTTCTGGTGTCCCCGCCATGATATTGCAGGAATATTGCTAAAAGCGCTATGAAACCCCACTCACTCACTCAGTTTCTTAGTAACCCCTATGGAATTCAAAACATGACCTATATACATGTATTTATAAAATAAACTGTTTTTCTCTTTTGAAAAGATGATAATGTTACATTAATCGAGTAATCTGAAGCCTTAGTTACTTTGTGATAATCTATTTCATATTTGGATCTTTGTGAAATTATATTGACACAGAAACTACCAGGTTTTGGTTACCAGGAAAATACAACCAAGAGAAATGTGGCAATGGTGTAACACACAGCCAACACCATGAATAATAATACAAGCAAAACCTTTTGATCATGGTTTTTATTGAGCATGAATATATAATCATGATAGCATAAGTAATAAGGAAACACTTATGTTAACAAGAAGATGTATTGCCTATTTATAAACAGAAACTTGAACTATTGATAAGGAAGGAAAGCCACCTGGAAAACACTTGTTTCTGGATAATTTTATATGATAAATGCTTCATATAACTTCAGAAGATGACGCACAAGCTGAGGTATGGCAAGAGGCTAGGAAACTGACTCCGCTCCAGGGTATTGGGTATTTCAGTTTAACGCTGTCAATTTATGTCCTGGAGTAACGTTTCATCAGCAATCATGATTAGCATGATTATTACTACCGCTACTTGCCTACAAGCATAGCAGGCAAAGGTACAGGAAACCAAGGCCATTTTGTGCTGAGGCTCAGAGTAAAATACTTGTGTTTCATGAAACCCGACAGATTCACTGTTTCACTTTGCAAACCAGTATTTTCTATCACAGCCGGAACAGTCAAAAGAGGGGCAAAGTTAACATTTTGAATAAAATCTGTCTGAGTGGGTTAGATGGCTGTTTTTGTGTGCTGGCAATAAGGTGCTTGACTCTGAAAGAGTGGTCTCAAATCCCAGAGTGGTTTCAACTCAAACAGCTCTAGAATCAGTGCTTCAGTGAGAAAGTGTAATCCCAAACATAACATATGATACATTTGACCACTTTCTAAATGGCATTGTGTATTCATGTATTTACTGTTGCAGGTATTTTTACCTTTTAATCCAAGGGTGAGTGAGTTAGGTTTTACGCCACTTTTAACAATATTTTAGCAATATTCCAGCAATATCACAACAGCACACCAGAAATGGGCTTCACACATTGAAACCATGTGGAGAATCGAACACAGTTCTTCAGCGTGACAAGCGAACGCTTTAACCACAAGGCTACCCCATCGCCCCATATCAAGGTAACATCGCGGTGGTAATTCCCACAGATCTAGCAGATCAGCTGACTGAGAGAGATCTTGGTATAATGATACCGTGTCAAGGTATAACTAAGGACCCCAATAGAGGACGATGAGTCACCACACCCAGGTAACTGTGTGAAATAGGACACAGGTCATACATGTCATATACAGCTGCCTTTATCACTTCACCTGCTCTAAGCTAATTGCAAGCACAAGCAAATATCAATTTTTTACTTCGCACTTTCAAGTAAGTGCACTCTGAATGTATCAAATGATAAATGTCTATTAAATGTGTAATGTCCACTGGCCACTCCAGCCAGCCATAATGCTTAATTAATGACTGACTGTCACATCTTGCAAAAACACTTATGGATCAGCTTAGACTAACAAGTCTCTGAAAATATATTTTATACACATATATTATATATGGAAACAAATAACTCCATTTACATTGAAAGGGGGAGCTAGCCTGATAGGTGACTGAGGAAAAACTGCACTTGCATCAATTAAGGCTTATAAGGGTTAGGTAGAAGGGAACATAATATAGGTCAGGGACTGTGAGAGAGTCTAGGACTTACTGTGAGATTGAAATGAGTGAGTGAGTGGGGTTTTATGCCGCTTTCAGCGATATCATGGTGGGGAACACCAGAAATGGCCTTCACACATTGTGCCCATGTGGGGAATCGAACCCAGGTCGTTTGCATGACGAGTGACTGCTTTAACCACTAGGCTACCCCACCACCCCTGATTGAAATGAAATGGGGACTGAGTGGTTAACATTTGTGTTGGGGTTGATTGTGGGTCATGGTATCACAGATATTATGGAGTAGAGCTGTGACAGGCAATTTGGGTACCCAGGTCAGGTGGATCCTTGAGTAGGACCGATAAACTACTGGACTTGTTGTACCCATTGGAGTGAGTGAATTTGGTTTTACATTGCTTTTAGCAATATTCCAGCAATATCATGGTGGGGGGACAACAGAAATGGGCTTCACACATTGTACCCATGTGGGGAATCGAACCTGGATCTTCGATGTGACAAGTGAACACTTTAACCACTAGGCTACCCCACCCCGCCCCTAGTACTTATGAAACACATGGAGAAATATGCCCTTGAAGCATTTACCGAATGCTGTTAAAAGACAAGCCTCTCACACATCAAAGAGTTTGTAACTTAGTGCAGGTACCTTCCTAGTGTCAGTTTAGATATAACATGTAAACAATAAACTTCATAAATGATTAAATGGTTTGACATTTTAGTTTTTACCTGAAACTATTCCAAAACCTTATCATTTTAGCTGTTCTTTTTAACGATGTATAACACAAATACGTCTCATAGAGCAACACATCACAACAGGTTGGTTCAGTATCCAGGGCTACAGATAAGGGGCGTACAGGCGTAATGTATGCCTAAAAATCAATGAAGTATGACATAATATGAGATTACAAGCGTATCGTGTACGCACATAAATACATTTGTATGTCTAACATATATGAAGTTTAATGGCTCAAAAGTTGTTTAATATATATAAATAACAAACCACATCAGCAACTCCATCAAAATTCTCAGTACACCTCCACTTGCAATATGAGGTGTAAGTACACCCACACCCCAAAAGTTATCTGGAGCCCCCGTATCCCTTTTTGTACGTATGAAAGAGTCTTGTCAACTCACCATCTGAGATCAACCAATATAAAATTGTTAAAGAATAGAATTTATGACATATCTATCCATTCTCTGGAGTTTCTTTCCATCAGATACTGCTGTAACAGGACTCACGTCAGCAATGTTAAGTATTAAAATATGGATTAGTTGAGATGGTGTGTTTTGCTGCTAGGTGTCCGTGGTAAAGTTGAGGAATGCTTTGTGAGAAAAATATCAAAGCTGATTGCCTGTATGTGTAATGCACCCCACTGACAGAGTTCAAATATTTGGAAGAAATATTTGGAATGCAAAATGCATTGAAATTTGGTATTTATTAATGAGTTGAATATGAACAATACATGTCTACAAATGTTACTATGAAGTGAGTGAGTGAGTTTAGATTTACGTCGCTTTTAGCAATATTCCAGCAATATCACGGCTGGGGACACCAGAAAATAAGCTTCACACATTGTACCCATGTGGGGAATCGAAGACAGGATCTTCAGCCTGACGAGCGAACGCTTTAACCACTAGGCTACCTCACTGCCCTACTAATGAAGGAGAGCATATAGCTGGTACCCTGAAGTCACGGTGGCTTTGTGTGCTGGCAATGAGGTGCCTGACTACGAGGGTGTGGGTTCGAATCCTGGATGAAACTCAACATAAGTATTAGAATCTGTACTTTGCTTAGAAAGTTTAATCCCAAATATAACATATGTTATATTTGACCACTTTCTAAATGGCATTGTGTAATCATAGGTTATAAATTGAAGAGCACTGATGATGCTATCAGGTTGTTTTCTTTTTTCCAAGTAATGCTTACAAATTTAGTGATCTATACAAATGTTGTCAGTAATTATTGTGATTATGATAATCCAACATACATTTTACCAGTCGCAACTACTGCCAAATAGCTGGAATATTGCTGAGTGCGGTGTTAAACAACAAACCAATCAAAATCGCAGTGCTGAATTCCCTTTGTTGAACAGACCCCTACACTTGTTTATGAACTGACTGACTGACTGACTTTGGTTTTTACGCCGCTTTTAGCAATATTCCAGCAATATCACGGCGGGGGACACCAGAAATGGGCTTCACACATTGTGCCCATGTCGGGATTCGAACCCGGGTCATCGCCGTGACGAGCCAACGCTTTAACCATTAGGCTACCCCACCACCCCTTTTTGTTAACAGGTAGATGTTCTAATGACATAAACTAAGTTTTGGTATGGATGTTTTTGCCCCAACTCTCAACAAAGTGCTGACAACACGATGATACAGTAAGAGGTATTGCCATCGTCGTGATCAGCTGATCTTGCATGTGCTGAAAACATTCAGCTAAATGAAATAAATCCAAGATACTTGTAGCGTGGTCAGTTAAAAAATGTCAAACAACATGAAGCATCTCAACATATTTCTTAGTAATACGAGGTTACGGAAGTAGTCGTTACATCTTCATGTGATATGCAATCGTCATTCTTGATAGAATCATTCGTACCAGACCCATTCAAACTATCATTCCCTTTTCCGCCTAAACGTATTGCTACAAACTGTTACAATGAAGTAACGGATGTGTTACAGTGTTGTCGACTGTTCCACATGTTACTACTAAGCACTGCTTTCGGAAACTGTGTTGTAACTTACGTCAGATCGTGTCACTGTTGGGGAGGGATCGGCGAAATGGTTGACACCTTAAACAAACGCCCGAAAGGTGAAATAGAAGAACCACAGTCACGTTGACACAAACGGATCCTCAATCAGCGCCCTCTCGCCTATGTGCAGAGTCCAACAAGAGTTACCCGCCCTCCCTTTGACAAAAGACACCATTCATATAATCATCAACGATGCGTTTGACTTGTTTGGAGAACCAAGAGGGTTGTTTATTGAACATTCTATTATCTATATATTTTATTTACAGATACCATAAACTGGAAACGCTAACATCATCCTTACAAAACTACGTTACATGTGTAGTCAGTTGAATTATGATCTATTCTGTGTTGGTATAAAACATAACCCAAGTTGTCCTTGTGGAAATGTTTGTGAAAATTCTTATCATTACCTGTTTGAGCGTTAATTATATATACTGCACAGAAAACTGCCATCCTGATGAATTTACGCAGTGTTACCAATATGAATATAAATTATGAGTTACTATTACATGGCAATGCAGATCTGACTGTTCGCATAAATCAAAACATATTTAAAATTGTTCAGACATATACTAGTATTTCACAGCCAAAATGATTCTTTTAATTCTTGAAATTGTTCCACTGTTTCCCATCTTTCTGTTCTTTTCTGTCCATCTTGTATAAAGAATGTAAATAGGATTTAAATATGTAAATACCGAGGAGAGGGTGTTCTAAGTCGTTTAAGTTGTACCAATCATTTTCTCATGAATGAAATATGTTTAAAACAAAATCAAAACTGGACAATTGGTGTCATCATAATTGGAATATATAAACTTTGTAATTTGTCTTTACGTAACTCATGAGCCAACACTGTCATTATGAATCTCAGGTGAGCTGTTTTATTAATATATTTTAAATGGGTTTTATAACAGACACATCATCAGTGGCATGTTTTCCTGTATAAAACAGAATCATTACACACTGATGCTTTACGAATAAAGCAAATCTATAATAAAAGTCTGGTGTACGGATTTGTTGGGGAAATATTAAAAATATGTATATAATATGACTCTTTATTGTTTGTTTTATATGACAGCGACCTGTGAGTGATCGCGACGGAACCAGACAATCCAGTCACCGATACTGTGAGCAGTGACCAACGTCATCATGATACGATGCCACGGAAATAACCACGTCAGCGAGCGTGGCCACCCAATCCACTAAGTCGTCTGTCAGCATTGGTTGCTGGCTACAGAATTTGAACAGTTATGCAGGACACGTGTACTGTTTGTATGAGTTAACAAGTCCTACTTTAATTAAGTATTCTGAGCCAACAGATACACTTACACAGATACCAGGAATTTTCAATGGGGGTGGGGTGGGTTCGAACCCCTTGAACCCCCCTTGGATCCTCCAACGAGTTGTAGTTGTAAAGATACAAACTGTAAAATAAATGTATTCTCAATGCATGAATTGTTGATAAATGTGGAAATAATGACATACATTATATTCCTATTACTGTATTGTTTGAGAGCAGAATTGAAGTTCTACTTAATGATTTGTAGTCATTATGAGTTCTTTGGAAAAAAAACAAGAAGTCATAATATATAATATTAATGTTAAAAGTTGCAGCTCTAAGGCAAGTTAAATTAAAGGAGAATACGAGTGAATTGCAATAATTTGCTGGGTGAAAGATAAAGTCATCAGAAACATATTCCCAAATTTTCAATTAAAAATTATGTATAATTATGTTTTACTCGCGAAAACAGTTTCTGTAAATCTCAGCTTCGGCCATTATGCATATTTCGCTGGAACCCACGTGACCTTTCCGCTCGTGACGTCAAATGTGCCTGGAGTCCGCCATATTGCCAAAGACCAAGCGCTACAGAAGTCCAAATCGTGTTGTTTCTGTCGTTTTTGTAAATGGTACGATGGTGTATTCTGTTGCCTGGCGGAAATACGAGTACGTTTTTTGTGTTTTTATTGCTATTTTACAAACTTTTTGTTCAATTTTAATTACGGAATGTGACTTTTAGAATTTCCTTTACAATATATCAAAAGTTTTGTTTTCGTTCGGATTCTCCTTTAAGGGTTCCATATACAAATACTATGTCGCATATTAGAGAACCAGAAGACCCCTTAATTTTTATAACATGATTTATGTAATTATTCTTAGTAGTAGTAGTAGTAGTAGTAGTTATGTTTGTTTGTGTGTTTTTTAAGGAGACAGCAGGCGTTTTCTAGCTATGTGACGGCGAATGATCGAGTCTCGGCCAGACAATCCAGTGCTTAACATAATGAGCATCAATCAGCGCAGTTGGGATACGACGCCACGTACGTCAGCCAAGTCTCCGAGCCTGACCACCCGATCACGGATCTCCACGGTTTAGCGGTAGTAGCTGTTGTAGTAATAGTAGTAGTAGTAGTAGTTGCTGTTGGTGTGGTAGTAGTAGTAGTTGATGTTGTTGTAGCTGTTGCAACACTAGTAGTAGTATGAGGATAAAGAGACAGCAATAGTAAGAACACAAAATTGAAGAGGGTTCGATTGGCGCTGGGTGTTACGTCCCTTTATCTAGTCGCCATAATCAACGAAGCGCACATAAAATACTTATCATGCATCCATGCTTCGCAAATTGAGTTCCAGACGATTTAGAAGACTGATAACAAAGGCACTGTGTTTAATCCTAAGATGGTTTACTATACTTGAAATACAATTGTCCTCACAGTATGGACTCACAGAAGGGACGAGGAACACTCTCTGTTCATACTTAAAGAAAGTTTAAAGATCGCTTCATTACACACGTGGACCGCCTCCGTAGTGTAGTGATTAGAGCGTCCGCCCGGAGAGCGGAAGGTCGCGGGTTCGATCCCCGACTGCGTCATACCAAAAGACGTTAAAATATGGTACTTGTTGGTCCCTGCCTGGCGCTCGGCATTAATGGGTACAACAAGAACTGGTCGGCTCGGAGTCAGTATAATGTGTCTGAGTGGGGTATTCATGCTTCACTGCGGTATGGTATCTCATTGACCTAGCACTATAAAACCAGCTTAAGTCTGGGCTAGTACAAGCAGCCGCACATACACATACACACGCATGCACGTCGTCATATGAGCGAAATATTCTCAAGCACGACGTAAAACCCAATTTCACCTCACCTCATTACACACGTACACGGCGGCGGGCCTGTAAATAATCGAGTCGGTTCCACACA